GCTCGTATATTGTAACTTTTTGTTTAAGAGTATTTAGGTAATTAACCATGGATAATATAAAAATCTTTGATAGAAACAAAAGCATTTGTTAACTATTGCAGGGAATGACATCACTCACATGGGATAGGGCATCATCCATATTGTGGAAATTATAGAAACCTGCAATTATTTTTTGGTACAATATTTTCCTTCCTTTAATGTGTATTCATATTAGGAATGTGATTCATTGCATATGTTACTTTCTTTAGTAGTACACAGCTTTGTAACCCTATAAATTAGAGCTCCTGTTCACATCTTCGATAAGCTCTGAAATATATCTTCCATGGGGGTTTAAGGCCCAAATACACAGAAATACAGTTTCTCACATGGTATCAAAGCCAGGCCATTGAAACACCTTGGATTTTTTACACTCCAAGCCCGATTACTGTTAACCTGAGTCGGTCATCACCTCAGGCTGATCATCAGCTTCGATCTTTTTTTTTATGATCACAATTTTGTCTTAATGATCCTGCACTGTTTATGAAGAAACCATATTTGTTTCACGGCCTGTTGCTCTTCTTCTGCCAATTGGCCTTGTTAGCATCCTTCTTCCCTTCATTTGGTAAAACCCATGACCTTCTCTCTCCTTTTGTTTTCCTTGAGTTCACCATTCACAACTTCATACCATATAGAATTAATGGTTCAAATAGAGCCCCGTTCAAATTTGCAAAGAGCTTGTCTCCCATTCACAACTTCTGTTTCTCTCCCTAAAACAATGTCCACTTAGCAACCCCTCTGCTTTCTAGCTCTAGCCCCAATTCCTCTTGTTTCGAGGATCTGGTTCTGTGGATGCTGGTACTGATGTGTGAGAGAGGGTGGTGCCATTTTGGGTTGTTTCTATCTCTCTCCTGCCCCAAAGAAAGTATGTGCAAAGGCTAGTTTCGCAGCTCTGTTGAGCTCTCTCTCTCTCTCTGATGTTCAATATATCTTTGGGGGAAATTGACAATCTATTACTCCCTCTCTCTCTGTTTGTCTGGCATCAAAACCCAGGTCTGTCCTCCATTCTTCGGCTTCTCTAGTCTACGATTTAGTCCAAGAGGTACGAGAGTTTTGATCTATGACGCTCTCTGATATGAGAACGTCTTTTGTGAACGTACATTGTTATACCACTTTGTTCATAATGAAAAAAATTTGATCTCTGTGATCTGTAAACCATCTGCCATTGCCCATCGCCTTAGGTAAACCATTGCTGCCATGCTCCCCTTTGATGTCGGACCATTGGTGAGCCGAATCTGAAACCTACCTCTAAATCCACCTCTGAAAATGGCCTCTGAAAACGGTCGATCTGCACCATCTGCAAAACAGCCACCGAGTCGTGTTTAGACTCTCTGAGTTGTCACTCTATCTAGTCGTGTTTCAATTCTCTGATCTTTTTTGGATCTTATTATGCTCAACTGCGAATCTAAGGTCCAATTGTGCTTGTCGATCCGCCTCTGATTTATGTTGGCTCTTCCAAGTGCCTCCTGTTTGATGATCAAATTTCTCGATCCTGATTGATGATCAAATTTTCCATTACTCGATCATGTTTAATGATTAAGTTTTCTATTACTCAATCCTATTGGATGGTGGAATTTTTCGTTACTCCATCCTGTGTGATGATCGAAGTTTTTTCGTTATGAAGATCATGTTTGTTCCGAAGTCCTGTTGATTTGTTGTTATGCGAGACTGCTCTGTTCAAGGCGTCGGTTTCTGAGGGTCGCTAATTTACAGCTGCTCAAGCTTCTTTTGTTCCTGTTTTGTTTCTAAGGCCTGCTTTCAGTTGCCCAAACTCAAGTGGCTCTCTCTTAAGTTGTCTGGAGTTTGTGGGGAGTGTGAAAATTATAAAAACCTGCACTTATTTTTTGGTACAATATTTTCCTTCCTTTCATGTGTACCCGTATTAGAAAGGTGATTCATTGCATATGTTACTTTCTTTAGTAGTACACAGCTTTGTAACCCTGTAAATTGGGGTTCTTGTTCCCATCTTCGATAAGCTCTGAAATACATCTTCCATGGGGTCTTAAAGCCCAAATATACAAAAATACAGTTTCTCACACATATGAGGCGTGACATCACCCATATGTAAATGTTTCCTAACAATTGATAAAATGTCACTGTCATCTTCTAAAAATATCTATTATATCCCTCGATAATGACAAAAAGTACCCTTACTCAAGAAATTTTTATATTAAAAGGTACGGGTGATAAGTGTCCAATCAATGTTGAGTAAGTTAGGGGAATACTTCATGACAGGGAGTATTCTAACAAAACCCATATGTGTGTGTGTGCCACGCATGCATGTAACCACATTAAATCTTGCCCAGAATCCACCTTGTACCTATATTCGACATCAATGTCCATAACAACAGTCTATTCTACAAGATACCCTGATAACATTCTTATCTAAACAAACTATCACAATGGGAAATTGTTCCTTACAATCGTAGTACACAATACTTATTTACCATTTTTATATATGATTTTCTATGGGACCTACTAGTGGCATTTTTATTTGAGGCAGTGAACCATATGGCAAGCAATAACAATCAAGGCTTTTTGAAAGTGAAAGGTCAATCAAGAACATAGAGATTGAAAGACTCACATTAAATAAACATAGAGATTCAGTATGGAAGCAGCCCTAACAGGAAAGAATAGTTATGTCAGGTTCCTTCATAAGCATGCAAGATGAGGATCGTGGAATCATCGAGGCCACAATGGAGATGAACTGGGCTTCATATCCCTCATTAGAAGGCTATATTAGTGGAAGGTCACCTATTTGGAAAGGAAATTAGTTAATGAAAATGATGCAGCCTTCATCCAAGGAGTATAACTTTTCGTCATGTGTCCAATCTTGGTAGTTATTTGCATTTCTATCTACAAAGGCCATCTCCAGCCTTCTGCCATGATTTCACTATTTTAAGCCTCAAATCTTAGTCTAAAGTATAGTAATGAAATAACAATAAGTGTTGGGACTAATTAGAATTTTTTGGTAGTCATTAGCTATTAGGGGCATTTTAGGGTTTTATATTCTTGACTTGGATCTAAAGTTAGGTTTAGAGTTCTAGATGTTCATAAATAGACTATTAGGTTTCTGTTGTTCAGAGGATGATAATTTTCTTGAAATTGTAATGGAACTTTTGGGTTTTAGAGCTATGGAGTTTGATTAATGGTTGTTGCACTCTCCCTCTCTTGCTATTTTCTCGCCCACTCCAATTGTCATTGCATGATTGCATCAACAAGGTATTAGAGCAAGCTTGATCGCATTGTATTAGAGATCTGATAGATGCAAGAGATCCTCGAGACCCGAGTTGTGCAATCGATGGCAACTTCACTCAATGTTTGGATCAACTAATAGATCAAGTGATCCATCAAGCTGCAAACCTGAAAGGCATGTAGGATGAGTATGAGTTGCATAGGATTTGCAGCAACTACCTCACACCATAGGGATATTTTCAAAAACTTTAGAAGTGAATCCATTCGCATGCCTCTTTTTAATTGTGAATCATTACATATTCACAAGTTGGGCAATCCAATATACGACGAAGATCCTAAAGATGTGCTCATGATATAGTGAAGGAAGTAGATCAAGGAAACATTAACGTTTTATGAAAATACCATGCCCAAAGCTCTATTAGATAGACGATGGTTACAAATAAATATATTTTGTGCATGGAGGAACATAGGCGGAGAGGGTTTCATTTTTTTATCATTAACATGGGAAGTGGCATCTATAAAGCCTTTATTGATATTAAAAATTCTGAGGACTTTACAGTTAACACTTGAAAAAATAATAATTTCTGAGGACTTTAGGTTCTCAACATATGGAGATGAACGAGTCCATTCAAATGGAAACGGAAATCAAGAATTAAGGATGGGACGACACCACCAATTACTGAAAGGTTCCCTTAATTCCAAGCAAATCAAACTTGATGAGTTTTCTCCAAGCGGGGAAAATGTTACACCCGTCATCCGAGAAGCATAACTTTTCACTCCTATATCCAATCTCAGTGCTTCAAATTGTATCATGAAGATCCTTCAATTATCTACGAAAGCTATATCTAGCCATTTTCCATAATTTTGATATTTTAAGCCTAAAAACTTTAGTCTAAAGGACAGACATAAAATAATGACTGAAACTTTGGACTAATTAGGTTTTTTTTTGGTATTTCTTAATTAGTAGGGGTATCTTAGGTTTTAAAATAGTTTATCTGAATCTTCAGTTAGGTTTAAGGTTTTATAGGCTTATAAATAGGCTATTATGTGTCCATTATGGAAGGACGGAATTTTTATTGGAATTTGACGAAACTTTTGAAATTTTTCTTGTCCTCCCCTATTCTCACTGCCTTCCCCATTGTGTGAAAACATGTATCAAGCACACAAAATGCATGCATATTATACTTTCTACCTCTCGTGGGAGCATATTCAAGCTAATAGGATAGAATAAAGAGGTTAATATAGATTTTCCAGGGAGATTGGCCATGTATTAAATTTGATGATAAAAACTAAAGAGAATTACAGATAAACAAAACAAAGAGGAAAAATGCATAGAATTGTGAGATTAAAAGGACATAAATTAACAACCAAATAGCCGTGGCCATTGATCTTCAAAATTATAATATTTGAATCTAGAACCTGATGTAAATCAACCAAACTCCAACATAAATGGTGACAAGACATAGGGTGGGCACAATAGGAAACTCACACGTGTTCTGGGTCTATATTTGCAAATGCAAAAGCAGCACAACGGCCGGAGTATGAATAGCCAGCATGCCTGCAATTACGAAACTACCACTAAACTTATAAAAGTAATGTGACAATAAATGGAAAAGGAGTATGAAGAGTTCCATTGCAAATCAACAAAATATGAAGCAAACTTACGGAGCAATTACACCCCGAACAAGTGCCGACTTGACCAAGCCAGTAGCCCTAAGCCATTCATCTAGCTCCTCATCTAATTTGCGGGCTAATAAAGGCTCGTAATAACATAAATACAGAGAATTAGTCTTGAAGTAACCAAACTAAACAGAATAAATATAAGATTCCCTGTTTTCTGATATAAAATCGACCATTACAAATCCTTGCAATTAAGTAGAATCGAATTTTTTGCAGCATAAACTGATAATAAATCTACCATTACAAATCCTTGCAATTAAGTAGAATCAAATGTTTGCAGCATAAACAAAAACAAACCAGTTGTCTTTTTTTTTGATAAAGACAAAACAAACCATTTGTCTCAGAGTATATAAACATTTAATTACTGAAGAAAACAAAAACAGTTACTAATGTGAATGAAATCCGAAAAGCTCTCTAATATATAAGTCATGACAACATTAAAAAATTGATGGAAGAAAGTACCTAGCATTCACAATGATTCATTCAACAACAATCAAGTTTCCAAAGCCCTGTGAGATTCAAAAACTTGATAATCTATATCCATAAGAATAATGTCCAAAAAGAAGAAGTCAAATGTGTCGCAAATTTCACATTGAACATACATACAATGTGAAGAAACCACTATGGATCGATATCTTTCAAAAGGAGAATAAATGTAGAGACATCAACATGCCAAGAAGTTACTTGAAATAGTGAACAACGTCAACAAGTATTTTTTCTCGAGGTTTATTCAACACGTAATATGATAAATCAAGATCTTCATAAGCCAGAACATTCTCCAAAAGAGTTTTAGGGATTAACTTAGACTTCATTAGAAACAAAAATACAAGTCAGATATGGAAAACAAGGATTAAGACTTAAGAAAGTCACTTCAACCCATTGAATAGTGATACTTCTGATTCGGGGTTTAATAGTCTTAGAAAAGGGCATCTGCTTTCACTGTTTCTAGTTCACAAACGTGGGAGAGTCCCTCCCGATGAAACTCTAAAGAGAACTATAGGGCCGGCAATGAACCAGTGGCCTAGTGGGCCCAGCCCCGCCCGATCGACCCAGACCGGTCCGGTTGACCCAAGCCTAAAAAACTAGGCATGGGACACAGCCACAAAATGTAGCCCTAAGGCAAGGCTTGAACTAGGACCAGGCTTGGACCAGTAATGAGACCATTTATCTTTGGTACAAGATGGTCACAATTAACCTTGACCACTGGATGTGAAATTTGGTGGCTGCATTTATTTCATTGACTAAGCTCAAAGTTCAAAAGAAATTTTCTCGAACTTTTTGACACACCCAACCTATCACTTGGGATGGTTATAAATAATCGTGACCTCCTTATAACAAAGGTAAATGGTCTCATTGTATACAATCCCTTTTTGTAATGGTCTAATTTTGGTAATATTACCTACAGAGGTTTATTCCATTATAGCAAAATCATCAGCATTTGTAAACAGTAAAAATGGGGGCTATGGAATTATACCCCCTAATCTGTAGGCCTCTCCAGTCTCTAAAATGTTTTCTTTCTTCAATGATAGTATCATTGATCACCCAAAAAAAAGGCTGCTTCCAAACAATGAATAGATTTCTACACACCAGAGCACGCAAAGTTTGCCCATAAGAAGAAAAGTATGTTACCAGCTAGTAGAAGGGATCCATTACACGATTAGCCTAGCCTACCCTCGAACATAAACACATCACTAACTATGGAGGATCTCCATGATCACTAATCATCAATTGAGGAATGAGGAGCTCAGTAATATCAAAAACACAAAGAAGAAAACTAGAATAATTAACAAAAAAGAACAAAATCAGTAGAATTAGTCCTTTTAGTTCTAGTTCCTGACCAGTTCCAAGAAAATCAGCTTAGAAAATACATGGTACAAATTGGGGCCCTTTGCAAGTACTGCAAAGCACAAAGAATGCAATCTGGAATAAGGAGAATACCATTATCAGTGTACCATGAGCCGGCATGAGTTGCTCTCCGGACCCTTTCCATGGAGTTTCAGACGGAGAATCAGGGCCCAAACCAGATAAATTTCTCCCTACATGCAAGCAAAGATTATAAAGATCAATAACAAAGTTTTCAAGACTTAAAGCACTTGGAATTGTATTTTTTTCTCCATTCTAATATAAAAAGCTCATGTACTATGCTCCCTAGGGATGATACTGTACATATCTTCCCTTGGTCAAAACGCCCAGGATTTTCTTTCTCTTTAAAAAAAAAAGAAGCCACGTAGTAGCTACTAGATGATTATTTAAAAATAATAATTAAATTTAAATTTTGTGATCGTTAGATTTAACTCTTAAAAATTTAAGTGGTCTCTATTCGATCTTGAAGCATACTTTTTTTTTCTATAAAATTATTTTAAAAAAATTTGTCTAGATTCTTTGTGGTTGAAGATTAGATCTTAAAATTTAAGATCCAAAAAATATCCAAGATATATATTTTACTGGACGGAGGAAATAGATAGTATACTCCTTAAAGACGAAAAAATCTTTTCACTAGAATAATACGGTAGAAAAAGTGCGCACAGGCGTAATCTTTATCATTAGATTCTCCGACCTTTATGAGATGGATTATTCCTTGCCGCGGCTTGTAATGTATTGAGTGTATCTCCGGAAAAAAAAAAAAAACCGGAATACCCACCACATTTTTAAAAGGTATTGTATATAATGAGGTCATTTAGATGTGATATAAGGTGGTAAGGGGTCACAATTCCTTACAACCCGATGTGAAATTTGGTAGTTTCGATATATCATAAAATTAAAAAATATTTTTTTTTAAAGTTTGAACTTAATCAATGGAATAATTGTACGGCCACCGAATTTCACATCTAATAGTCAAGATTTAATATGACCACTTTGTATCAAAGGTAAAAGGTCTCATTTTATAGTTTCTTTTTTGAAATACATGGAGTGTCCTCTATATTGTGAGAAAGAAAAGTAATTGTTGTGGGCCTTGAAGGAGGTTGGCACCTTATTTTATTTATAAAGGAGAGATGTTTGCCAAGTTCCCTTTTTTTGGAGGAAATTGACAAGTCTATCAAAATATTCATGAGAGATGAAAAATTTTGCATTTTATCAACGTCATTTGATTTAATATCAAAATATGATCAAAAGACACATGATCAGGAACTTGAATAGTTGCAAATGTATAAAATGATAAATAATATATCTCTCGTCAATATTTTGATAAATTTCTTAGGATATACAAAGAATCACATATTATAAAGTCATTTATATTTTGTACAAGGAAGTCACGATATAATTTATTTGTTTCATGTAAAATGTAACAATTTTGGGTATATTACAAAGTCCAAAAAAAAATTCCTTGGACTTTTGAGGCCTATTAAAAACACTTTCCTACATACAATTTTACATTTAAAGGCTAATGAAATCTTTACACTAAAGATATAGTCTTATTGTGTATTTTCATTAAATATAATGGTCAAAATACTTTTAAAGAATTAGTATGGTAGTCAAATCAACTAATTTATTGGCAAAGTGGTTCTTCAATAAAAGTATTTCACTCAAGAATCTCATCATGATTTATAAAGGGTGTGGTTTGTACAAAGCTAAGGCCCTGAACAATCGTGCACTTTCAAATGGTATCGAAAGATATCATTTCGGTACTAAAAATCTTTGTGATGACTTAACAATTTATTTTTATTTCTAATTATAAAATTTAAAGCTTTAAAAATAATATAAATCAAACAAATTTATTAAAACTTGAAAATCTTGAAAATTACAAATCTAGATGATGCATTACGAAAGGCACTATTTCCAAAATTGCACATAATGAAAGGCAATCTTGAAAATTTATCGTTCCCGTTGTGCTGGTGAAGGGCATGCACAAGGATGATGGAAAGAAGATTTTCCAATAGGAAAAAGGCTGGGTCATGGTGGTAGCATCCTCCGATCCAGTTACCCCATTGAGTTACCCAAAAAAAGAGGAAGAAGGTTTCCCAATATTATGCAAAGTTGTAGGATAGCGTTCCCGTTATGGGTCATTTGGATCTTAGGGTATCCCAAATCATGTTTTGTATATTCATTATCTTGCACAAAAATATTTTGTTACTTTTTTTATACATAATCATGTTTTATGTAGGTAAAAAAGAGGGCCAAAACCTAGGTACTCAAAATCAAGAAAACAAATTGGGTTTTTAAAATCTAACTTTTTGTAAGCATGAAAGAGAGAATACATTCAATTCCATACAATACAATACAGGTGATGATAATACTATTTTCACATACCAGAGTTGCTCACTTTGTTAAATACAATTAATTATGCCAAAAGATCCCCACAAGTTAGAGAGAAAAACTACCTAAAATTTTAAGTTTTAGAGAGACAGTATCTTAAAATTTTAGAAAGAGAAACTATATCAAATTTTAGAGAGAGAAAATACTGAAAATTTTTGGAGAGAATATCTCAAAGTTTTTAGAGAGGGACTATAACAAATTTCAAGTTTTAGAGGGAGAAAGTATTTAAAATTTTAAAGATAAGAAACCACCTAAAAATTTTAGAGAAAAACTATCTCAAAAGTTTTAGAGGGAGAAAGTTTGTTAAATTTTTAAAGAGTGAAACTATATCAAATTTTAAAGAGAGGAATATGTAAAAACATTTAGAGAGAGAAACTTTTTCAAAAATTTTAAATAAAACTATCTCAAACTTTAAGTTTTAGATATGGAAAGTATATTTAAATTTTAGTGAGAGGAACTATATCAAATTTAGAAAGAGAAACTGCCTAAAAAATTTTAGATATACAAATCATCTCAGAATTTTTTAAGAGAGAAATTAACTATATGAAATTTCAAATTTTTACCAAGAGAAACTGTCTCAAAATTTTTGGAATAACTATATCAAATTTTTATTTTTTAGAGAGACAAACTATCTCAAAATTTCAAGTTTAAAGTGTTCTCTCTCTGCAGTAAACGAGCTTATAAAAAAAATGATCCAAACATCAGATTTGCATGACCTGATTACCATTCAAAGCCATCCAAACAAATCCTACTTGAGTAACTAGGTTTTAAAATAACCGAGATAGGACATAACAAGGTTTTGATCACCTGGGCTTATAACACATGGAGCCAATCGAGACGTAGGCCATTTGTTCCAACATGGTAGAAAATACAATTAAAGAAAAAGTTTATATAAAATTGCAACCTTACCTCTACAGGTACATGGTAGATAATACAATTAAAGAAAAAATTTATATAAAGTTGCAACCTTACCTCTACAGGTACGGATGCACCTCTAAAATCCATCGGAAAAGATATTTTTAATGTTGAAAAACCTTTTGATTGATCATCTCGACATCAAGATGTATGACCATGATAAATAAAAAGATTTTAAGCTTCAGAAATAGTACATTTTACAACATAATATCTACACCATCTATTTTCAAGGTTTTCATATGTCCATAGATTTACTTGATTTTAACCATTTTTTAAATTTAAAATTTTATAATTAGATATAAAAATAGATTATGAGATAATCTTAAGAACATTTTACATCAAAATTATATACCATGATAAAAATTGAAGGTGCACCTTACGTCTGCATCTACGGATGCATCCGTATGCCGACTGCACCCATACATTAATGCACATGCTATATATGAATCTTTTTGGAATTGGCAATTCAAAACAGTCCTCGTAACACCTGGGAGTCCAAAAGTCCAACGGCAATGGGCTAGTTGGAAATGAGAGATAATTCCCCTCATAGAGACTTTTTTCCAGTTCTATACCACTGATTACCTGCTGGGGGGTCGAACCCAACCCAGCTAGGCGTGGCCAGAACCAGACCCACCCTTGCTACGTCCCAGTGAGTTGGACCCAAACCTCACCTGGTTGGAATAGGTCCAAACTAGGGTTGGACCCGGTGAAGTCCAGGCTTTATTCAACCCAGAGCCAATCTACCAGGTCCGCTTCCTGGGTTCGCATAGGGACCTCACTCAACCAGCCACCAAATCCATAGTGGGTCGGCCCAGCAAGATTTGCACTCCTCAGCATTTATGTCTTTTAGGAGCAACAGTGTCTTCACACATGCGAAACCTTGGCCACACAACATTCCTAGAATTCTAGGAATGTAATCGGTTAGGAAATCCGGATACCACAGTTTGTAATTCAATGTTTTGACTTCAAACCAATAGCTTGTGTTTCCAGGGATACTATCAAGTTATGGAGCAAATTATAGAACATTGAGACAATGGTTTCAAATTCGACTTCAGTGATGATCTATCATTATAGTGACATACATAACAAAAACTCCCCAAGTAAATACATATTTTACAGGGATCCATACAGGAAGTCTTCAGTATCTATACACAGCTCTTTCAGAATAATTACATATTTTGCAGAGAAGCCATAAACCAGTCATGGATAACACATAGTTTACTTGTTTCCATACAGAAAGTCTTCAGTATATATACACAGCTCTTTCAGAATAATTACATATTTTGCAGAGAAGCCATAAACCAGCCATGGATACCACAGTGACTTGTTTCCTCACCACATATTTACAGTTCCAAACATAGAACATTCCTGGACTATATGTACAATTTCACCATCGTGGTGGGTTCCAAACCTTCCACATGTTGCCATGGGTGGCTCCATTTTTTATATCTACAGAACCCTTTTTCATTCCATAATATATTATAAATTATTAACTGCTACACCTGGCATCCAGTCAGGATCACTCTATTCAGGGCGGTAATTAACCAAGTTGGGGAGGGCAGTCATTTGCAGCTTCTTGAGTTCACTTGCTGTCACTTTGCAGGCCTCAAGAGACAGTGATTTGAGGTTCTTAAGAGGCTTCAAATGGTGAAGACCAGCATTTGTCACACGTGAATTGGAGACATTGAGTGAAACAAGAGCGGTTAATCCTGTATCAAAAGGGATAAAGACAAGAAGTGCTCATAACCTTGGACTTAAAGTAAATCGTAAAACCATATATAGTACAGATTGCAAGTGGGAAATGCACAAGAAATTGACTTTATACAGGAATCAATAGCAGAATGCTAAACCAGATAAAATAAATAAGTACATGAAAAATGAAAATATGCACCAGAGATTGATTCCAAAGCTTTATCTGTGAGGTTGCAGTTTTGAGAGAGATTCAGAAGCCTCAAGGAAGTAAGATCTTTGATGTTCTTCAAGGCATCATCAGTGATCAAACCACCACACAGCTCAAGTGACTCCAGGTTCTTGAAATCTGGGAGAACATGATTCCATACACTAAAATGAAAATGGAGAAAAGAACCTTTTAATTTTGATAGGCAACCATAGAATTCAAACTACAGCATTAAGGTTGAGAGAAAAGCTCTTTTACCACGAAGGCAAACCAAAGGATAAAAAGGAACAAATAGAACATCCAAAAATATTTCAGGCTCAAGACTGCCAAATTGAACAAGAATTAATATTCAGTGACAAAAGACTTCAATGACATATTTCAGAAGTATGGCAATGGAAAATAACTGCTGATACACACATTGCGCAGAAAATTGGGACGAAGAATGCAGAAAAATTTAAAGACTATTCTCAGAAGATAATAATCCAAAAGTGACAAGGGCATTTTCACTCTGTTTTTGAGAAAATATGTATAATCTATTTGGAAGAAAAAAAATAGAAATAAAACTAACACATAATTAAAAATACTTGAAGATATGCTTAGTGTCCTTACTGTCCTGATCTTGTCTGGAATCAGTTACATTTACAAGCAGTGGTATAAGGTTTTTAACTGAAATAGTCAAGACAGTGGCTTAAGAAATCTCATTTTGGGAATAAAAACACATCTCAGGTCGTAACTAATTTTGGTAACTCAACACAAATTGACCACGAGGACGACAAAGAGAATATATATATATATATATATATATATATATATACTACTAACAA